CACCTCCTCCAGCCCCCTACAATCCTCACCCTCCTGTTCAAATCCCCTCCCTCCCTATCTCCGTCACCTCCTCCAGCCCCCTACAATCCTCACCCTCCTGTTCAAATCCCTCCCTCCCTATCCCTGTCACCTCCTCCTGTGCCGAGAGACAGACTGATGTCAGCGTGACGGGGCTGTACCTGTGGGATATCAGGATCCATGAGGCTGAAGGGCCTCGTTCGGAGATTAGTGCCGGACGATACAGAGCTGTTCCCGTTCCTGATGGAGGCAGCGTTTCCCAGGAATCCTGCAGACAGTCCCACCTGATCCAACTTTCCAGTGCTGGAGCTATTGAACCAACAGTTCTGTAAGCTGGGGATAGAGAGTTTGGGGGGGTGGTGTGGTGCAGAGAGGAGGCACACGAGGTGGGTGGTGGAGGGAGGTGTAGGGAGAGGGGTGGAGGGGGTGGGGGAGGGTGATAGAGCGGGTGCAAGGCAGGGGTAGGGAGATGGTGAGACAGGGAGGCAGTGTAGAGAGGGGGGCAGAGGGAGAGGGGGAGGGGGAGAGAATGGGATAGAGAGAGGGAGAAGGAGATATTGGGGGAGAGAGAGAGAGAAGGTGAGACAGAGCCGGGGACAGAGAGAAAGGTGGGAGCGAGAGGGAGGGGAAGAGGAGGAGACAGTGTGAGTGAGCGAGTGGGGATGAGAGAGGGAGAGAGGGGTAGAGAGAGAGGTGGAGAGATGGAAAGAGGGAGAGCAGGTGTGAGAGAGAGAGAGAGAGAAGGCGGGAAACAGGGGAAGGGAGAGAGGGAGAAAGGGATTGAGTGAGAGACGGAGAGGAATAGGTTGAGAGAGAGAGAGAGGTGAGGGAGAGGACGTTAGATTGTGGAGTAGAGAGGGGACGGGGAGGGACAGAGGGGGAGTGGTGAGTGAAAAGGAGAGGGACAGAGATAGTGGGTAAGAGAGGCAGAGGGAGAGTGAGGGGGATAGTAGGACAGATGAGGAGAGGGGAGAGTGGGATTTGTGAGGGAGACGGAGGTGGGGGGTAGAGAGGCAGGGACAGCAGGCGAGGAATGAGGGGACGGGACAGAACGAAGGTGAGAGAGGAAGAGGAAAGAGAAAAGAGGGCAGTGAGAGAGAGGGGGGACCACACACGTAGGGTAGAGAGGGAAATGCAGGGATCGTAGAAGAGGCCAGAGGGAATAATGGAGGAGATACAGGAATGGGAAGGGAAACACACGAGAGAGGAAGATCAATGGCAAATCAGAGAGTGTTCAAACATTGAAAGGTCGACGGTCATTGTTCTCTCAATGATCGATTCAAGAACTGGAATAATGTCAGAAATAA